ATAAAAGCACCATAATCTTTAATATTGAATAGACAAATATTCAAAATTTAGTAATCAGAAAGGCAAGAATATATGGTATTTGGCAACAGTAACATCTGAATAATTATTTGCTATTCAGTCAAAAACCCATTTGGTTGATCCCTAATTTTAACAAATAGGACTAGTTGTATCATTATATATAGAAAACAAAGTCAAAACTATACTAATAAATGATTAGAGCCAGATTAACTGCCAGGTTAGAACATGGCTAATGAATTACACAGTGTGGTTTATAGGAGCTTGACATTCTGCTGTTTTTTTCTGAAGCATGCTTTGTGATTCAATTTCAAGCTGAATGTCAAAATAAGCAGACTAGGATTTTGTCACTTTAATTCATATATTGCAAAGTGGTGATTTTGGTGCTATGCAGTGCAACATGAGAAATATATTTCTGACTTGGGATCATCATTTATTAAATGTAAAGTTTCATTGACTGATAACTTACTGCATGCAGCCATTTTACAAAACATCAAAATATTAAACAATGTACACCACTTAGGAGCGGAAATAATATTTTTATTAAATGTACTATATATATATCAACTATAGATAAATCTAAGCTGTCCAGCTCCTTATAATAATATAAAACTATAAATGAATGAGATTCATCCATAGACTGGAAAGAGTTTAAAAATATATATAGATTAGCATGCTCAAGCTGAAGACACAAAATAAAGGCTGATAATTATTTTTGTTAACTTCAGCTATTTAATTCTATCATCAAAACATTTTCAACCCTTTCAAAGTCACCTTCAGTCCTTGTACTTTGATATATTGTATTTCTAAAAAGAACATTTTCAATGCCATTGTTACTTTGGATTTTCAAATGCAGCAGTTTCCAGTGAAGGCTATCTCCAAGGACATGTTCATTTCCAAATTCAAAAGATTTTTCTTACACTTGAAACCACTGCACTCAAAAATCCAAAGCAACAACATTAATGAAAACAATGTTCTTTTTAGTATATACAGTAAAACTTATCTAATTAAAAGCTTGAAAAAAATCCAAGTTACGGTCAATTTGAATTAGAGAACAATACAGTGAAAAATGAAGATGCTGAATGGATTTGTATTTTTATTTCTTGCATTATATAATATTTGATAGTTTTTTATTTTAATGTTTGCAGAAAGACATCCCATGTGATGTCTTTCAGCAAAATGTTCAGTGTAACTAATGAAATTGAACAGTTTTGCAGGTACATCTTGTTGAGATAAAGTGAAAGATCCTCTTGCTTTGGACTGGAATATTGTCTGCAAATGATTGTTGGACAGTCGATACAACTAACTGTCTGAAAATTTCTTAGAAATCCAATAATTATAATTACTTTTGGTAAGAATAAATATTAAAATTTGAATCAGGGAAATTGACAGTTAAATCAATGTCAGGGAACCACGAAAACCTTTGATTTGGAGAATATTCAAATTAAGGAATTCAAGTTAAAGACATTAAATCCCTAAGCTATTCCATTGAGATTTACCAAGTACTTCATTTTCTTCAAGTTGTAGAGATATACAAGTTCAACATTTCAGTGAAAAAACTTTACTATATATGCAATATATTTAGTATGTAACTTAATTAATTTAATATGTTCAAAGTATAAGCACTGATGCTGACCTTAAAAAGGTTGAAAATGTTTTGATGCTGGAATTAAATAGCCTAAAGTTAAAAGTTGGTAGTTATTTTTATGTTAAAAAAAATAGATATTTCTAAAAATTTAGTTATACTATAAAAATTCAGACTGAGAAAACAAAAAAAAAAAAAAAAGCTAGCAGTTTTTAATAAAAATGGATGTGTTGCCATAATTACCTGAATTATAATTATTAATAAAGTGGTCATTTCTTTAAACATCATGTTTTATGTTTATTAGTTTTTAAATTAAAAATTATTCAATTATGTTCTTCTAATGGAATGATTATTTACTGATTATGCCAATTATTGGAGAATTAGTCATCTCTTAACAATCAATCAGTAGAGGAGCCAATTAGTACAATTAATGATTAGTAAATGTAAATAAGAATAATTTGCTAAATTTCAAGTCTAAGATTTTTCAATGAATTAAAAAAAATTCTATCTATGATAATTTGTTATTTAATTCAAAAAATAAACAAAATTAAAATTGTTATGCTGAACCTGTTAAATTTTTGTGAATTAACAACATAGAGTAACACTCAATCTCTTATATCACTAGCAAAAGTTTATTTTAATGATAGAATTTTATCATCAGAAAAGTTTGCAGTGTGTTAGGTTTTCACATCTTGTCTAAAACAAAAAATTAGTAATAATTTGAAAAAGTTAACCAGCCTTTTTTTTGAGAAAAGATTATAAGTAGACTGTATGTCAAATAGTTTAAAATTGTAACAAGTCATTACTGAAAAAGTTTGATTCAAAGAAAATTCCATGAATTTTTCTTATAAATGTAAAATTTCTAAGAATTTTCTAATTTTCTAAACAAATCATTATACAGAAATGGTTTTACAATAAAGCCAAATGACTGCCAGATTAAATCAGACTGCTACCATTAATAATTGAATNATAACAGGATAAACTATTTTAATTTAATAAAACAATTTGACAATTATAAAAAAAATATATACATATCTGTTATTTTTTTCTAATTAACTAACTAAAAAGTTGGAGAAGCAATAGAAAGTTAAATGCTGTTTTATTTTGTCAATGTGCCATACTATAAGGAATGTGAGGGTCAGGGAATTTAAAAGAAAAATTTGAGTAGGAACCCTGTATGAATCTGATCTAGAAATATTCATAAATAGTGTAGATAGAGTTTTATTCCTCATTTTTCATTCATGCTTGTGATGGCCCATCCATAATAGCAGATTCTTACCATTTGGATTATTTTCAATCTACTAATTACATTTTATCTCCTATTGACCATTCCAAAATACTACATGGATTTTATTAAATTTAACTTAACTATTGTGAAATTAAAAATGAAATACAATTGATGAAAGAAATAATTACTAAAGGGATCTGAATATATTAATTTGAATTTTGCATTGCAGTTATAAATTTTACAGAATAATTGTTTTTAATGTATCTAAATATCTTTTTATTCTAGAAAAAACTTTGACCACATATAAAATTATTATTTTATATTCCTTTAAGAACTAAATCAGATGTCATTTTTGCATAATAGCTATTGTTATACAGTTTGAACAAAAACCAAAGAGAAATTATTTCTTTTATGAAAGGTTAAAGTTCCAGTAGCTGATATTTGTTGAATGTACCATAATTTGGGGTGAGTAGACATGTTATATAAATATATATAACATCATCATCATCATTTAATCATTTAGACAGGAATAACATCACTAAGCTCCAGGTATTAATAATTAGATATTAACATCTACCTCTAATACTAAATTACTTAATAATTATAATAATATCCTATCAAAATTAAGTGCCATCTAATTACTATAAAATTATTTAATAAATGTCTGGAAGAAAAGAATTGAACCTGCAGTTGCATTGCCAGTTATGCTTCCAGACATTTAATTCTCGATATAACCATCCACAGTTACTCACAGTGCCAACTGGGAACGACCTTGTCTGGAAGCATTTTCATTGACTGCTTCTAGATATGGGTGTAAGAAAAGAAATGCTTGGAGGTCTGGATGGCATAACTGGGAGTTGCAGGTTCCAATCCCACTCTGGGCCAATTCTTTTCTTCCAGACTATTCTAAAATCATTTTGTAAATTTAATTAATACATTGACGTACCACATCAGTGTCGTCTTTTTTTCTTAATCACACTTCAGGAACATACAGTCTTTATGGCAGTTTGTAAATACTTAATTCAAATTCCCAGGACAGAGAATATATTTACAAATTAAATATAATTTGTATTAAATATTAATTTTGATAAGGATGGTACCTAATTATAATAATCTAATAGCATCTACCTCTAATGCAAAATTACTTAATGAAATTTAAGGGCAAAAATTGATATTAAATATTTCTACTAACTTAAACTAGTTGTGTGTTAGGGCTTATCATACCAGTGAATATGAACACACAAATTTCTTATATTAAATTTAAGAAATTTAATAGTAGTAGAAAAATAGTCCAGTTAATTATTGGAGTTATGGCGATTATTTAACTTATGAGGTCAATCATAAATGTTATCTTAAAAAAATTGGTCTTATCCTCCTCATTTTACAACTAGAGAATTAAACATTTTTTGCAAAGAAATGTTTCCTTTCATTACAATAATCATTTAAGCCTTATATTATGCACATTATAAAAAATTGCTAAAGTTACTTGAATAATCTTAAAAACTTATTAAAAACTCCCATTTTTATTAAATATACAACTGAAGTCATCAAGAAAATATGTTTTGAAGCAAGCTGTAGAGCTTTAATGGTAGCAGAGTGTTTTGTAATAACATCCCACACTGAAAGTAAAATTCATGTCTCAAAAAAGATTTTTGGCCTGTGATATTTGGAGCTCTATTACATAACACCTTCAATTTAACAACATGATCTGCTGGAATTCTTTTCTTTCTACGTACTTCTCTAAAGTGTCCTATTATAAGACACCTTCACTAATCAAACATTAAAAGCACATATAGTACCGACCACTGTACCATGCAAATAAACTGAGACTTCTCAATGTTGCCAGCATAACAACATAATATTATCTCTGAAAAACAATACCCAAGCTATTGAGAAATTTGGTTTCTTTGTCAGACACCTACAAAATTTTCCTAAAGTCTTGTTTCTATTCATCTCATACTATCGTATTTTTGTTAAACACGGAAAAATTACTACATAAAATGAAACCAAAATAAAAATCTGAAGCTTTATTTCATAAAATTTAGTAAAGTTTTTCAATTTACTTAATAGATTATTGATAAGGTATATAAGTCAGATCTTACTTCTAGTTATGTTTTATTTAAGTCTTTCAAATACATAATGTCTCTACTAAAATTAAAAATTTAATCTTACCTGAAGATTTATAGAGTAATCCAGTGGCTGTTGCAGCTGTTAATGTGTTTAATTCATCGTCTACTCCTCTCAACCATGAAAACAGCACACCAAATCCACTGTACATGACAGCTTTCAAAAGACAAAAGGACAAATTGAAAATTTTTCTATTGTTTTAATGTGCTATTATAAAAATAACTTACCGACAACACCAAGACTGTTAGCTGTACCAGCTCCTTGTTTTGTAATATAGTTAAGCATTCTGAAATGAGAGAAACTTAGAAAACTATCTTAAAAGATGACAAGATATTCTGTTAATTAAACTTACTGTGTTCTTCTTATACTTTTTGTCATTCCTGCTGCTGCAGTTTCCTTCCATCCCGTATAAAAACCATGGATACCTCCAATTGTAGCACCTAAATAACATTCATGATTTTTACTTTACTAATTGAAGTGCTAGTGTTTATATATTTATAAAGCCATACCTATAATAATGGTTTAAATAAGTATATGATTATCAATCCTCTTAAAAATATAACTAGAAAAATATATATCTATTTTTTGTTTTGTAAATAATTTTTTAAATAAGTAACATGTATTTTATGTTAATACAAAGTTGCTTGTAATTGAGGATGAAGTGCAAGATACAGTTAAAGTTCCTCCATTGAATTAATAATGTTTAACTAAATACTGCATAATACAGTTATGCAGTATTTAGTTAAACATAAAATTTAAACAAGAGCAGCTATGGCTGGGAGAATATAGCTGATAAAGTGTTTTAAAGTACATGTTTTTTCCGATGTTACTAGTGTTACATCCAACTAAAGGTATGTCCTACGTGGCAGTGCCCAGCAACTGTAGCCGTGAACATGCTTCCAAGTGGAATGGACAAACTGGTTCAAACAAATGTGTGTCCAGAGTAACTGTGTTTAGCATGCAGCAAGCAGCCACCATGCAAGTTTGGAAGCAAAGATCAAAGAAAAAAAAAATGACTGATTCATTCATTCATCTACAAAGATGAATGAAAACGGAACGACAAATTGTGTATATACTTTAATTAATAATTATTACATAATTTAATCATTTCTGATTTATTTTTAAAATGTTCCATTTACAAAAACATTTTTTAAACTTATTCTATGAAGATTCTTTATATTTGTTGCATATCTAGTTAATGATAAGCATTAAAATACTAAATATGAAAGGTAAATGTTGTCATATTTTCCATAGCAAGCATTTGACAGTTGTCTCACCACCATTTTGTAAACAACACACATCCATTCTGGACAGAGATCGCTTGTGAGTTGGAAGCATGTACAACGATTCTTTCTGCTCGCAGTTGCTGCTATGTAAGACACCCTAAAAAATGCTAAGTATGTATAGATCATTTGTATTGTTGGTAAAAAATACTACCATTACAGTTGGTAAAGGTAACAATGAATTTAACAAGAGAGACTTTAGATCATGTTCTACTTTGTTGAAGGAGTTGTTGTTGATTTTATTGCTGTGTAATAGTGAATAATAGATAAAAAAAAGTATACACTAATTTTCCTTTTTTTTAATTCATAAATACAGTACTTATAATGTTATTTACTCACTTATTTATTTCTTATTATTTATTTATTTTAATTTAATTTCTACTATTCCAAGTCTAATATTTTTTTATTTTTGTTGACAATAATTGCACATTCTTGATACCTATGTGTCAACTTTCCCATCTAATTGTTATCACTAAGGGTGACCTATCTAATTCTCACTAGGAACGTTTTTTTTTCTATCAGAGTTCTTTTTCACTCACTCTTTAACAGTTCCTTTCTGAATTTCCACACCAATAGACATATTTGTGCAGTGAAATTTATTTTGAATAATTATTTTATAATTAAAAAATGTCATCAAGAGAAGCAAGTTCTTCACGTGATGAAAAAACTGTTGTTGATAACTCTTTATACAGTGATGTATGGAAGCAGCAGCTAAAAGATGAAGTAGTGTATTATGAGAATTTACTTTTCGAAAATAATTTAACCCTTTATTGCCTGACGAGACTTTCTAGTCCCACTATCTTTGATATTTTTTATTTCATAGTGTATGTATTATAGCTTTCTGGGACTTACATTTTATCATTGTATAAAGTGTTCTTTTTCTCTTCTATAGGGTAGTAACTTTCAAACTGTTCCTGTTTTAGTTTTGTTGAAAAAAGTTTCACATCGTGTGTTGTTTGAATGGTAGTAGCTGATATTGCTTTCTTTGTTGCCAAATTCTACTTATTGTTTTCAAGTTAAATGTCTTTGTATTTTTTAATATGTATTCTAGATATGTGTAGTTTGATTTTAATGTATTATGTTTGTAGAATTAATGGTTTGCAAGCTGTATGA